TTTGCGGCTAGGTTCAAACCCGCCCACGCACAGTCGCACACATACCCACACAAGTCAACCAGAATGGCACCGAGCCAGTTTGTAAAACTCAGTTATAATCTCATAGATTTTACAGAGTGAGGTTGCGGTGAAACCGATCAGAGAGTAAATAAAGTGGATTTTAGTAAATCCATGACAAATATACGGGCCAACCGAGAATCACTTACTGCACAGCTAGTAGGGAATTGAATGAAAATCTCGGTTTTCCCTTAAAATAAAATATTCATAATCAAATTAGTCGTTTTCTTTTAGTTCATGAAGAACGTCAGAAATATGAGGTGAACGCCAAAAAGAAAGGTCTTTTTTCACAAAATCTTTTCGGTAGGTATGAGAATAAGCCTTAAGATCCGGTGGAAAAAGCAGTTAAACGCTTGGAGAGTGTACTTTCTAGCGAGACCCACACTACACTTTGCTGTTTATGGCTAATTTATGATTTAAGCTGAAACTTCGTGCCCCAGGGTCACAGGAATTAGGTGACCCAATGTGGGTGCGAATACTGACCAATTTGTGCCTAAATTTGCCGCGGTAACAAAAAATGCGCCATTTCCAAACGGGAATCATGTGAACCATTGTTTGACCTTGAATTGCATTTGACTCGATTCGACAACCTACATTCCCAACCACATTGAGTGCGTTTCAAATAGTTAATCAGACCGCCCGCGCGCGTGTGGACAAGGGCAGAGCAGGATGGGAGTTTATGCAAATGATCCGAAATGTGGATGAAGTTCCACCGCCTACATGCATCAGATGATCTAGATAAATTTTGTTCGTGCACAAAATATTGAAAGTTGAAACAGGGAGTACAGAAGCACTAATTCAAATCATTTCTGCACATATTTCTAATCGTATTTAAGAATGAATGAGATTTTCCCAAGTATTCCAGTTGTGATGCACCTATATGATCTCGATTCATTTGTTGGCTTGAGGTAGTACATTACCAGGATTTTTTTAATCTTTCATGTGTTGCTCGATGTACAACATTCAGAAAACGACATTTGAGGTAATTTATTGATAGTAGTAGAATCTAGCTCGTAAAGATTCACAAGAATGGTGCACGCATTGGTTTGGGAACAAAAATGGTGCCAACGAAACAACAATGATATCATAAGATGGGAGGATCAAGGCACAAAACAGAATGAAGTGGAGATCCAGTATTTACAGTACATTGAGATATCAAGCTAAACAATTTACTATTTGTTTCACCGTACACGTTTCGATATTTTTGTGTGCTAGTTTAGTGTTTTTTATGAAGCACGAATATACTGTTTAGGTAAGGCTTAGTAAATAATTCGTGTAGCCGAGAAATTGGGTCCGTTCATTCTATGTCCTGCACATAACAGTTCAAACATACTCCTAAGTTGGAAAATAAATATAATTGAGGTTTTCTTTCACCTTCCACCTGATGGGGATTGTTGGTTGGAAAAGATTTCTGCAGCTGAGTTGTAACTTATTTAAGGCTGAAATTTGAATATCGTAAACAAGTACCTGAAACTTGTCAGCTAAATTCGACCGATTTCTTTAGTTTACTCCAAAAATCTTGATCGGAACTTAACTCGGCGGATTTTCTGAATAGCTGGCCATGAGTATTACACTCAATACTTTCCAGCACAGAATGTGTTACTTTCGACGGTTCTACTGTTATGTAAGTATCGTTCGTCACTTGTTGCAACTTGGGAACAAATGATGGTTTCATAACCTTAAATTGTTTAATACTTTCAGTAGGCCTGTAATATCCGGAGGAGTTTGGAGACCCCAACAAGCAATCCCTTTGAGAAATTTAGGCGTGCATTCATTCCCTTTCACCTTACATTTACAAAAGGGATATCGCATCAGTTTATTAAAGCGACTTCTTGATTACAGTGGCAACCCACTCAATGATTCATGCTCATATTTAAGCCTGAACACGGTGATCGATTTCTCAATCACTCATCACGCAATTCGCTTCCTTACCCGGTCAACTGGAGTCCATTATCACTGGGTTTGTTCATTTTCATCTAAAACCCACTCGATTAACTGCAAAGTACACAACGTTTCTGTTTGGGGATCTGAGACGAACAGTCAAACCACACCCTGTCGAAACTTCCAACCTTACTCGGTAACTTACTCACAAAGTACTAGAGTTTATTTAGATCACTCCATCTGGACGGGATTTTGATAGCCTGGGTCCAACCGTTGGCATCTGACAACAGAAGCATCAATTATCTCGTGGGATTCTCAGTAGAATACGATTGGTTACATCGGTTTCACTTGAAGTTGACTAAGTATCGGACACAGACAAGATACCTAAGCGATGGCAACTGTTTGAAGTGATCATTCCGCTCATGCCACCTTCAGTAAAGAGTTTGGTGTATGAGTCAGTGATTTTGTGCACACTATTCTGGTTGTGGTTAGAATCTTCATTCGAACAGACGTCCGTTGTGGTATCCGGTAAATGATGATGAAAACCAAACTGGTGTCCAGCTTCGAGCATATGTGCAACATTTAAACTGCAGATAACCCCGAACTAGAGGGGAACCCGTCCCTACCCCTTTACTATCGTGAATTGACCTCGACCGTTGGACTCAACCATATCATTCTTTCATTATATTCTAACATCAGTTCAGTTCAATTTTTGCAACCAATGAACTTACATTTCCGTGTGCCTATTTTGGTTGATCTCTCATGACTTCCCATTTGGATAAAGGAGTGGAGGGAAGATTGGAATGTTCAAAACAGTGTCCGAATGAAAATAGAGAATTAAAAAGACTATAGTTGCGAGGGCATTGAGCAGATGCACGAGCGCTACTGTTTATGGTACTCAGCAATATCATTCAGTATTGGCAATGATTACGAGGTCCCCGTCCAGGAAGCATAATACGACCTTTGTAAGCAAGTCTACTATGATTGTAATGTATCTAAGAAGGTTTGTTGAAATCAACTGCGACGCTAAAAAAGTCGAGACCAATTAGAACCTGTTAAATGTTCATCCATATAAGTGCATCAACTGACCACCTAAACTCGTTTTTTACTAGATCATGTGCATATATGCAGTCGCTCTTCCACTTCGTACCCCTCGGGGATTCGAATAAGTAGCTTCCAGAAACTGCGACTTATGCATGTTAGTCATTATTATATGCTTTTAAGAAGTGTAAAAGTTGACTGAAATGTTTATGATAAGATAAACAGGATCGATGGAAACTGCGTTATTTCCGTTAATTGTTCCCATTAATGATTATTACCAGCGGTCGTCCCCTAGAGCAAGTACTCGACCCCCATAGATTACGTTGGTTGGGGCATGTGGTACGCATGTCACCGGAGAGGTTGTCTTGACGAGCGATGTTTGCCGAGGCAGAGAGAGGTTGATAAAAGTCAAGGGTGATCAAACTCAGACCTGGCATGAGGGTATGAAACCTCTAACCAGAACACTGGATCACAGAGGTCCCGTTTTACTCCCTTGCTGTGGACCTCGGGATGATCGTAATCGATGGTTAGAGATACTGAACGATTTGGCTGAGTATCGCAAACAGCGGCGCTCATGCATCTGCTGATTATTCTCTTAACACCAGTCTGTATGAATTCTCTATTTTCCGCATGAGTTGGCTTCCAACATTTCAGTCTTCATCCTTCTCTTTTATCCAAATGGGCGGCCAGAAGACAGCAACTAAAACCGGCGCACGAAAGTGCATGGTTAATAGTTGTAGGAACTGGAACTGATCATTGTAGTTTCTTTACTTTTTATTTATTTATTGATCAAAAGGTTTAGTGTAGCGCTAACTCTTCGTAAGTAACGCATGCTTGGTGATACAATGCACAGATACATTTTGAGAGTGTTATTGGCCGCCTAGCTGCTTGGTCAACTGTCAGTTCAACAACATCTAAATGAGCTGAGCGTGTGTGACTTATCCAGTGTAATCCTGAAATGGAACACCCCCCTTCACCTAAACAAAAATTCTTCACCGCATCATAACCGTTTGCACCATATTAAGCACCTCCAAACTGTCCTTTACGTACCTTCATCACTTTTAGAATGTACATAGGAAAGTCATTGCTAAAAAAGGTTACTTGTCATAAATGTTTTATCATGCATTATTATTATACAGATTAGATTATATTACTATACATATTCCTAAATGAATCATTCTCATACACCGAAATTCATGTGGCTTTGGAGATGTTGCCAAATTCTTTGATCTACGCAAAGTATAAGACAAGGACGTTTTTCGCTTGATGATCCTGCTTTAAACGGTTCCAAATGGAAACCAATCCAGTCAATTCATAGCCGATTAATTGTACCCTCGGATAACTCAGACTTACCGATAACAGGCCGCATAAAGCTTCTTTTCTTTCCTATGCTGTAAATAGATATTAGCCATGTGTTGTCGAGCTTGTACATAGTACGCGTTTTCAGGGCGTATTGATCGGAGTGTGGTCAACGCCGCCTCATGGTCTCCCTGAGCCAGAACTAGTTCGGCACTGGCAATCGTGACGCGCCCGAGTTCACTGGTTCCACAGAAAATCAGCTGAGCGTCCTGAAGCACTTTGGTGGCTTCGTGCTATTTCGAAACGGAAGAGTTAGATTTGCGTCATAATTCTGTACATGTCCTAGATGGTAACCTACCGCCTGGAATCAAATTATCAATAATCGGATTTCGTTATAGCCTGTTTTATCAAACCAGTCAGTTGGATTATGACAAGCCTCACACTCAACTTGGTGCGAAAACCTGAGCTCCGTGTTCAAAAACGAACGGAAGTCAATGTGTAAGCCGCAAGATTTGATTTGATTTTAACCACAGTAATGCCGAATGAGAAAAAATTCAATTCTACCAATTCAACTCCGTAACTCATGTCACATGGATTGATGAATTACTAGTAGACAGAATATAACCAAGAAAAAAGGATAAAGGAAACCTTGTTGAATTTACATCTTAATCACAAACAAGAGATCATAGCTCATACACACAATGTATGTGCGGAATAAATAGGCCACAATAGGCTTAAAGTTGATCACCCAGTTCATTTTCAGTTACGTGCACATCACTACAATCCAACTAGGAATTAAGCCAATTGATACATTTATGGGTGAACAATATTTAATAGAATGACAGTGCATCATCTATCAAGTCAGCGATCAACTGTTGATCAGTTCTGAAAACGTTTGGGAGTGATAATACCTTCTAATGCTAAAATCAACTTTATCTCAATTTAGAACTTATAGAGAAATCCTGATCCTTAATAAATCTGATTTATGCAGGAAAGGAGCAAGTAACTTCTCCATTTGACCTTATACAATGAAACACACATTGTTGGACAAGCATAAGAGAGGCTTAGCATAGTTGTGAAAAATTCACCGCGGTTTGAACGGATTAAAAGTATCGGATGCAGCTGTTTCTACCATTCAAGTATATAGCACTTTCATTTACAATCATAAATGCAATAATTTTTTCTTATTTTTTTCTAACTGTAGAGCGATGATGAGCAGTTAATTATCATGATGAGTTGAGATTCTGTGCCCTTAGATTTCTTCTTTTGTCCTTAGTGGAAAAAACAGTCGGTGATAAGGGTTCTTGACACCAACCGATGCAATCTTTCGGATTGTTCGTCGTTAAGTTCTTGTTTCTCCTAAACAAATAAAACAATTCCATGGGGTTTCAGTGAGGATAGGCACGTTAACTCTGCATGAAGAATCAACTTTCATAATCAAAACTCCTTTCTATTTTTCAAAAAAGGGTTAGACAGAAATTAAATCAATAATCGTTATATACAAAAAAAACATTGTCAGGCTTATTTTCGAAATCACACAAATAGTTTAAATATAATTGTCATTATCCTCAAAGCGTTATGCATCCAACAACATACGCACGGTGTTCTGTACGCTACTGAGGGACAATGTTTTACATGGCGCCACACAGTACTCGGTGGACGGGATATGTTTTATGGTCACGAGGATTTACGGTATGATGAGGCTATCTCTCGTTTTGTTAGCCTTGTGATTTGGAATGGGAATACACACAATGCAGAGCTGTCTAACAGTCTTCATGCTATGAATAATGACACGCGGCATCAGTTCCACTGTAAAAGAACGATCGAAGCCCACACAAAAGTCATTCTTTATACATCATTATTTCAACCTATAGGTCGGTGGGGGAAAAACTCTTCCCGGTGCGTTTGGTTAACACACGAGGCGCAATTTGAACTATGTTAAGCAGCTACATAATAATCTTGTACAACCCGTGAAGTCTCATCGTCTTTAGTAGAAATGTACTACTTTTTCCATCAAAGTCTTCGTTCATTTTGTGTTGAAAATGTAAATAAGAGTATTTTGGAAATGTTTGCTTTTGGTCATTGAGGCCATCGGAATTTCAAACACGTTAACACATGCGTCCCTCCATACGAGTAACAATGCATTTTTCTAGTTGTCTCAGTCTGAAACTAACTATGTTTCCTCATGGAACTGATAACCTCATGTCAAGATGCATTTAAAAGCACTAAATGATATCGCGAGATCAACATGTAACCTGCTTTCAAAAAGTGACTTATGTTTCGAATAGGTAATATGAGGGTTATATAAGGTCGCAGAAACCGCCAATCCATTTGGAACGAGTCATTTGCAGGCCCTCGGTGATCCATGTCAACTTTGTTTCAAGGATAACGTTTTATTCCCGCTGTAAAAATACTGACAACTTTTTCGCGATATTCCTTTATGGTATTTGTTAAAATAGATGGGCATAGAATGATCTTCGGTATTCTTGATTCGGGGACATAAATAGTTAGTGGTTGGAGATCATATAAAACTTCGGTTTCCTCCAAAGCTTTTCTGTTACGCCTAAATTCCAACTAACTTTCACTGTGTATTTTGCGGGACCTAACACATAAAAGATAGTTGGATGTTCGTTTGAACATAAGATCAAAGCGTCATTCGCCAGTAGATATTTTATTTCATACTTTTGATAATTCTCTACGGCTTACATACTTACAATCATAGGTCTTTTTATCACGCTACCACTGAGTATTATTATTATTATTATACTACATCGCGAAAAGGTATGTAAAGAAGGTGCAGGGACATAAACATAAATCTTAGATTTACAACCTGTGTCGGATTAAGTTTTCAAGGTTTACAACCAATGTCATGTCTTTTCGTGTGCCGGTTTTGGTTGCTGTCTTTTGGCTACCCGTTGGTATGAAGCAGTAAGAGAAAGACAGGAAAGTTGGAAGTAAAGCCGGAGAGAAAGTGAAGAATTTCAGTGGACTAATGTTACAAGGAAATTGAGAATATGCACAACCGCCCCTGTTTACGACACTCACTCATATCACTCAGTGTCTCCAACCGCTGGTTATCGCGATTTAGAGGTCTTTATGCAGGGAGCTTAATGAAACGGATGTAACCGAGTCTCACGTTTGGGGATTTTTACTCCCTCGTACCAGGTCTTCGCTTTTCTCCACCCATTGCCTGCCTCGGCAAACATCGCGCGCCGTGCTAACCTAATTGGTGACATGCGTAACATATGCCCCAGCCAGCGTAATCTATGGATATCGATCAGTTGCTTCAGTGGGCGACTGATGCTACCTAAAATTCTGTCTAACCTCAGCATTGCTCATCCTATTGCCGCACCAGACTCGGGTAATGCTGTGTAGACAGCGGTGTCCAAACATGAACAGTCTATCTTTACCTTGTTTTCTTAATGGCCAAGTTTCCGCGCCGTATATCAGAACTGACCGAACTGCCACAGCATGCACTCGCCCCTTCATGGACAGCTGGATGTCGCGGCGGTGCCACAGATGTCTTAAGTTTGCAAACGGCCACCAAGTCTTCTGTACGTAATACTTCCACCGGGTGAGATTTAGCTACCCTAATAACAAAACGTGTCCACTTGTTCTATTACTTCATCAGTAAGAGTGAAGCTAGGTGTTAGACCAACCCAGTCTTGTAACGGATTGGTAGCAATGCAGTACTATTGAGTAATAAAGTAGCCTTCAGCTAAACTTAGTTCAAATAATCGTCAATCAGACTGGCGCATAGGTGTAATGGTTTTGCTCAGTCTCCTCCAGCAATGAGGGAATTGTGAACAAAGACATTGAAATTAATCAAACGATAAAACAGATATGAGATCAAAGGTACACAAGTCGAAAACAACGTATTACTATCTGATTTTTAAATGACTACCTTTATTTGATGAACCACAGACGCAGTGAATCCCATGGCCATGAAGAATAACGCAGCAGCGACGGAAGGTCTATCAAATGAACCGTTTCTCTAACATACCACTTGAGTTATTCTCATCATTCCAAGGCGTAATAATTGAATGTAAATTACATTGTTTCATACTTGTACGCATTTTGCCACTTGATGTACTCACCAGCTTTGGTCCTTTCTCTCATAAGTTACAAAAACTATGCCCCCCAAAAGTGCGTTTTGGGCTGATCCACGGCACGCCTAAATGTTCCAAATTAACTGTTTGGTATTTTTCCATCTTCGTGTTCGTCAGAGGGAGCTTTGAATGCAAAGCTACTAATTTAGACCTCATCTAGAGGCTTATATGACAGTCTACGTTGGTCAACCGCTTCCCACGCGTACTGTTAGTACTGTCAAAGCCACAATAACTTTGTGCTCGAAGTTCGACTTCGTACGAGGTGGTATCACTTGATGATGAAGTAGCCTAGTCAGCAAATTTTCTTCAGCGGTTTTATTGGCGCTCCTAAATAAGTGTCCAAATAAAAATCTTGAATACTCACTTAGAATAATAACAATTCAAAATGAATCTGTTGGTAGCGGGTTTCGGAGTGATATGTCACTTCACATCATGAAGAAGAATGAAAAGTGAATATTTTTGTCGTAGGTTTGCCGGGAGAATCAACAGTTCGTGTTCATCTACTCATGAGTAGCTGAAATAGACATGGATTTTTGTGTTAAAATTGTTGCGATCTTAGCTAAGGAGATTTGACCTGAAGTTTCGCAAGATAATAATCACAATTCTGACCAGTTTTACGAGATTTTTCTAATGAGCGATATTTATCATAGGTTAAGGACGATTATGACGCCAAGGATGATAATGATACATGTATAATCTATGCTGGTTTGTTTGAATACTGTAAGTGGTCATTCCGTTCCGACGCACAAAATACAAGTCAACAAAACATAAATATCACTCACCCATTCACTCAAACTACGATGCGCTTCTGCTAGTTCTAGGTACAGAGTCAAACGCTCACTGTTAGACAATGTTCTGCCTCCAAATAAACTTGGTTCCTGAGACGGCCCAGTCAGTGTGGGCCGTTTTGTCAGAGCTGCACGTCCACCACCGCCGGTGTTCGAGTCGGAATTGGAAATTGAGGCAATGGTCTGTTTCAGAATCTGAACTGCCACTTTGGCAGAACCCTGACAAATTAGTAGTCGAGCACGAACCAGATGATACAGTGGGTGATTTCGCACTTCAAAATTATTACTCAAACCAGTCTCCAAAGCTCTCTCGGCCAATTGCAAATTGGCTTGATACAAATAAATCTGAAGAAAAAATGACAAAAACATGCGAAATGGCAGAGGTCCTTCAATAAAAGTTATAGTTATCAAAAGCTGTGGATTCGACAAGACAAAAGATAAATGGCGTACCAAACTACAGTACGAATAATCATTTTTCATAAGCACTTGATGAGAATGAGTTCATAACCATCACTGTTCACGATGGTCGGACACAACTTACGTTATGTGAACTTTTTGGATTCCGGACCACTAACTATTTTCCTCCTTAAGCAGATTCAATCAAACAATTAGGTCCTTTACGGTAAGTAATCTAGGGAACCTCGGGAACTTCAGAATAGAAATTCCCCGGTAAAAACCATCACCTATGTTGTAAACGAAAAGTGGTTACCATCTATTTGGCAGAATTATCACCCAGAGGTCATTTATGCTTGAGAAACTTTCCTTGAAATCACATCCGCTGGCATTGTTACTAAAAGTACAATGGAAATAAATCTGCAGACATTTTTGAATTTACCAGGTTACCTAATAGTTTATTTCTTCCTGCCTCCGCTCTTTCCCTCCCAGTCATCTATTCCCGCGTGCATGCGTCGAATTTTTGCACAAGAGAATGTCCTATTTGAATGTGCCATACTATGTATGACTTGATAAAGATAAAAAATAGGGGAGACAGCTGTGTCCAAAATCGGTAGTCATGCACAAACATTTGGAATTGTATCCAGGGGTGATACGTACATGAAAGAAAATACTTGAGTATTTGAAGCTCCCGAGGTAGATTAAATTATATCGTTAGGACAAACACTCCGGTACCTGTATTTGCCTGTCTGTGTGTGTGCGTATTTGGTTTAGTAGACTGAATTTTGCTTGGGTTGAATCAAATCGAACAGGTTCGGCTTTAATGTTTGTGCACTTTCTCAACCCGAGGGAGAAGGGCGAGAGATATTCTTGGTGTCATGTGATAGATAGCTGGTGGAATTTCAATTGTCGTGCACCTAGAGCCCAGATTTCGCGAATTTTCACCTGCACGCAGGAATACTCTTAAAAAGTACATAGCCAGGTGCTAGAGGAATACCAAACAGGTTTTTACAGTAATTTTTGTCTGGCTACTGATTCGCCGAAACTGAATAATATGAAAGTATAAACTCACATTTGAAGTGCGACACTTTATCTCAAACCTTGTATTTCTTTGCCCTCTACACACACACATACACACACACCTGTACACACACACACACACACCTTTACACACACAAATACACAACGGGTTAGTGAAACTTCTGTTGCCGCGTTTCACAAAACGGTGCACATGCACAGTGATAAGTAAAGAAGCTGGAACGACCTAATTACTGCTGACTGACGGGAACATATGGGTTGATTGGATTGGTGCATACAATGGTTTGAAGTGTGATTTTTCAGTAAAACTGCAGTACTTATCATTTGAATTAGGGTGAACTGGAGGTCAGATCTGACACTCTCCATAGCACAACAAATAAATTGAGAGGAGATAAAAAAAGATGTTCCAACTACGTCCCAATTTTTCAGTTTCAGAATGCAAAATCAAAGAAGAGAAATAAAATGTAATGACAATAAAATTTAGGGCAGCTTATATTACCCGATGCGAAAACTTGTCTTCTAAAATCAAGAGCACCGCAATTAGGACCAAAATCTTCAGCATCAATATTCACTGAAGTGGATCTTGCAGATGGCTGCCAAAGTAACAATGCATAAAAGCCAAGTACAATTACAAAAGGTTTACACTGAGAAGAAAGAGGAGAAAGCGAACCTTTGTGGCAAATACAGCTTACGCAATCCACCTTCGCATACAAACCTTTTTGAGTATTCTGACCTGTTGTTTGGTTATTGTCTGTCTCAATGTTTCTAACCAACAGATTATGGATTAGTTCAGAAGACAAACTTGAAGAGAAGAGGAACCCACTCAGTGTAATTTATCTTTACAGTTTCACATACTTCCTTCCCACGTCCACGTAAGTTTCGACATCCTGAAAAGGACAAATGCAACTAAGGCACATGATGGTGGATGAATGTTAGGCTTGAGCAAATGGTGCTCTAACTGATGAACCTGGGTGTGACAACAAATTTTCCCCTAAAGCTCTTCCAGCTACAATGTGGTTGCTAGGCTGCTCACTAAACTACGCAAGCATCAACCATCAAAAACATCCAGTTTACCAAGGTTCATCATATGCAAACTCAAGATATCGCAGCTGCTAGGTAGAATTGATCACACTTTTGCACAATATACGTGACCATTTAATTTAAAAGAAAATTTAGGTCAGTGTTCAAGGTGTCTCATTCCAGCACAAGTTGCCCGGACCTCAGAAATATGTGCAGTGAACTCTCATTTTTCAACTCTCATTATTTGTATAAACAAAGAACAGATGTCTACCCACACCAAATCTAACTGTATCTATCAGTTCCAGTGTGGATGCTCGGCCATTTACATCGGCAGAATGGAGAGACAACTGCGTTCCCGAGGAACCGAGCGCATCCCGGTCTGGCTTCAGAAAACAATGAATGAAAACTTCATAAGTATGAGGTCACTAATGACCCGTAGGAAACTCAGTTCGTCGATCACTCAACACCTGATCGAAATGAAACATTGTGTCATGCTGCGCGACACGTTCAGAATACTCTACAACTCAAACAACACCAAGGTTCTGAAATACGCCGAGGCACTGGTCATTCAAAATTATCACCTCAAACTGTGTAAAAGCGTGAATGGCTTATCACTCTGGCGCTACCTTGGTAACAAATATGTTTGATGAGTAATTTTGACCGCAATCTTTTTCTCCGCCTTTGATTCTGTTGTTTACTGACCACATATTAATGATCACATAGACTGCAGTATGTGCATGTACAAATGCAGCGAAGTGATCCAGGATACATTGTGTTTTGGGCTTCTTTATTCAAATTTGTTACGGGGAACCTATGCTTCCAACCATTATTTGTGCAAATGTTTAGGTAGGAGACCAAATTAATTGTATTCAAATCCTAACCGTTTGCGAGAGCATTTACCGGACAAAACATAGGGAATAATGGTTATTCATTAGTACATACCAAGCACGCTTCAAACCTCTATATTTTATCATTTTTCCAACTGTATGAACTTTAGAGCTGCATTTTATGAATAGTATTACAAAATAGTCACCGGAAGAAATATGATTTCACTTTACATGCTTTCGATGCTGCTAATTTCTATGAACTCGAGACAGTAGTGGAAAGCTTTTTGAATTTTCATTGCTCTTGCGATTGTTGTCGTTGCTGCACGAAAAGGTCTTCTCCTTGGAATATGACAAGTGACAATTTCGATGATGACGGGATCTTTCGTATGATGATCAATATTTCTTGTCAGTGAATTGGGTTACTTAATTCACTTGAGTAGTACGAACGTGAATAAAAATAACGGTAATAGAATCGAATGCTTGTCTAATCAATGAATTTCGAAAGTTAATTTAGCTACTATTTGGTACAAATCATATTGTCCAGTATTACTTTGAGTGCCACCCGAATTGTGTTAACTTGTGTTGGATGCACAATGTGTCTCACGTGTATTTGTTTTCTGTGCTTCGTCAGTGGTAGTATAATTTTATCAGAGTGGTAAGCTTTTTAGACACCTCAGAGAATGGTATCACAGGCATACAATATCGGTCACAATTAACCGCATTTTTAAATCCTTCGTTGTCTAAGTTTGGTAATCGGTGCAAATCAAACCCTTCTATTTTCATTCATATATCATGTATTTATCATGCTACTTTCAAATTAGTATGCATGCGTTCTGCAAATGAGGTCCCGGATTCGATCCCCATTTGGGTCGATGGATTCGCACTGCTAATGAGACCTAACCAGGTCACAACAGCCGTCCACTGCTTCCCATCTTTTCAAATCACGTCTCATTTACACGACAAATTCATCGTGTAAACTTCCAAGTTGATCCAAGACATCTTGATCCTTAAGGACAAACCCAAAAAGATGCAATCCCATCTATAATGCATTGAGAAGCTATACAAAGATGTCGGACTGAAAAAAATGCAATAAAGGACGAATGGATTTTGACGAGAACATATGGCTAAAATCCTTATCTTAATCCCAGAAGGAAAAACGGTTCCAAAAACTGGCTTTTTATAGCACCAAACCATTTTGGGGTATTACTACCGCATTTTGCTCAAAAACATTTCTACTTATCAGCTTTCCAAGAAAACGTAGGTATGGTCTTTAAGGGATGTAGTACCGCGACAAAATCATTGTACTCAATTGAGGTTCAACATAAATGAAGTTTATATTTCCTTGGTCTAACATTCGTAATGAAAACCTCGCTACACTTTAAGAATACACTTCACATGATTTCAAAACCAGCGGTGATTACCGTGTGCCGAACAGTTTCATCGTACCAGAAATCTACCTGATTTAACACCACCTAAAAGTGCTCTCTTCAGTTGTACGGAGAAGTACATATTTTCCTAACTTGACCTAATCAAAGCTTATCACTTAATTCCCTTCGCACCAGAGGACATACCAAAAACAGTCATTACCACATCATTTTGTTTGTTTGAATTTGTTTGAATGTCTTTGAAACTAACAAATGCCGCAAAACCTACAACGTTTTCATCAGTCCAGTCCTTCGAAGTTTAATTTTTGTGTCCGCATATATCTATGGTTTTCCGATCGTCAGTGCAACTGAAACGGTTCACGTTCAACACTTGAAACAAGTTTTCCAAGCACTTCATATAATTTCAACTAACTCCGCGTAAGAAACCTCTTGCTTTGGGTCCCTCAAGCTATACTACCACGGCACCGTCTTGTGATCAGAATACCTAGTACCTTTTACGTAAATTACTAAAAAGGTTACGTTGGCTCCTGGGAATTTTAAACTACTACCGTATTGATGTGTTCCTCACATCGTGCGTGAGAAGCATTTAAGTGCGCACATATTGAAACTGCGGTTTCTCATGAAGTCTCGAGCCAAATGCAGAATAACAGATTCCTTGTGTATTTGCAAACAAACAAATTAC